ATTCCAAAGTTTCATTTCTTTTATTTTCTCTGCCAAAAAAATAAAAAATAAAAATTTGGGGTGAGCAACTCTGCAAAAATGTAATGATTTTTACCAACAAATTCACCAGTTAGTTCCATACATCGTCAGCCAATGCATGCAACATTACTGATATCCTACTCTGAAGAAAAAAATTGTTGCTTTGTTGTAACCACCTCAATTCAGATCTTAGGAAGACCATCCAAACAATTTGCAAAAAATATGGCCCCCCTTTTGAATCTCGATACTGACATGCCTTCAAGACAAACTATTACTTATGTGTAAATGTGTTTGTTTGTCTTAATTATGGCATAGACACGAAGAGCTAGACAATTTTGCCATTATTACGGATCGCAAGCATGAATACCCAAAAAAGATAAAAACCTAAAATTCAAAGGAAAAAAAGGCAGACAAAAGCACAGAAAGAAGACCAAGCTGTAACATGCTTTGGCTAGCATGGTCTACTTCCAAGCCATACATAGCCCCAAGCTACATCTTATTGACTTCATTCGTCTTTCTCTAAATTGAAGCAACCATGTTTCTATAGAGCTACCACCAGAAAATGTTGAAGAAAATGAAGCCAAAAGACAGAACAACTCCAATAGACATACTTCCTCAATCACACAGAACCTCTTCTAGACAAAGTACTTTAAATTTTTAAAAAAATTGTATTTTGAACTTCATTGGAATCATCTAGGATATTTGTTCAACAATCCGAGGATGAGAGCATATTAGCATAACCATACAGTAAGCATTAAATGTAACTGCAGCCACAATTTAATAGGTGAAACTGTATGTATGGAATGACACTTAGACAACTCCAAGTATAGAACTCTATGTTTGCTATCTTTTAATTATACAGTGCAGACACCAGAAGTGAGGTCTACCAAATTTAGATCTCTGCCAATCAATATAAATAGTATACAAGGGGAACTTGGTAATGGAATTTGGAGAAGGAAAAAAAATCTGATAGATACAAGCTAGAACTACGCATGTGAAAAAAGGTGCAGGTTCAAAAAGGCAGGTGATTGGAAAAATATATTGCTTGACCCATGTTGTCCTTTATAATTAATTCTGTGAATACTCAAGTAGGCCATATTTAGAAGAGAAAGAAGTGCAAAACGAACCTCCCCACTTCTCTGGGTTAAGAATCCAAGCACAATATTCTTCATTTGGCTTTCCAAGGAATGCTTCAGAATATTTAATTGGATCGCTGGCTACTGTTGCAGCTATAACCTTCAAAATGAAAGGTCGCAGTCAAGAAATAAAGACGGAATTCCAATAATTTGATGTGTATCTGCAATAGCAGAAGAGGAATGCCCAGGCAACAAACTTGTTATATTTGCCATTGTTCCGAAGTCTCGTCATTGGAAAAACAAACTATATCTGCGCATTTAAGGACTGTTGATACAATTTTTGAATTACCTAGATCTGTTATTATTAGTACTCAACATTAAAAGTCCCTTCGGAAACATTCAATAGAATTGGAATGATATAGAAAAGATTAACCATGGCCTCTGTGCAAGGATGACATGCACAAATGGAGTATTCAACATTAAAGACTTAAGTTTATTATGAATAGGAATGATACATAAAGTGTTAAAGAATAACAAGAAAAAATTTATATTGAGGTAAGATATCAAAGATAGTAAATCGTGACCTGTCTCAACTCAGAGGCTTTGTTTCTGTCATGGTCCATGACATACCTGCATATACAGAGCCAACAATAGAATGCTAATCTAACATATGCACAAAATCTCTTCAATCAGACTGAAAATACTGAAGAGAAGTCTGAAAATTTGGAGGTTTACCCAACAGCATTAAAGAGGCAACTGTTATCTGAAGGAATGACCCTCCTGACAATTGCACCTTCCATGTTATAAGTAAAAATGCACCTGAAAACATCAAAATTGTAGAAATTGCTTCAAGATTCGATTACAAATTTGACTGGGAGTTCATAATCCTTATGAATGCTTTAGACCCATAAAAAAAGGACCAAAATCATTGAATTAAAACATTCATAAATAAATTACTGGATAAATCCCATCCCTTAATACATAACAGAGGAAAGAATAAGGAAAGGAAAATTCTGATAGACAACAAAAAAAAAAAATAAAAAAAAATAATAGACAATAAGAAGATGGAAAACACCAGACCTCAGGTGTCAAAAGTAAAGAAAGATATGAAGAGACTCAAACCTCAACAAGAACCTAACTTTGCAGACCAAAAGGTACACTAGATCCAAGTATATGTCTCAGGACATGGATTCAAGCAAGCACAACATGAAAGACAAAAGCAGCCTATACAAAGAAGCCAACTAAAATACAGTAGAATTCTACAAAAAAATGGAATAATTTTCTGAATGAACAAAAAGAGAACAAGCATGTACAAGGAAGAAGCAACTAGATTCAGAAACCAATCTAAAAAAATTAGAAGAAAAAAACTAACCTTGATTAGAAATGATGGATTTGAAACGATAACAACAATATTATTGCAACAGCAGAAAAGAAAAATGAAAAATATCAGATCTATCTGTGTACCCAGAATTTGCTTTAGAAGTGAAGAAAGAAAGATTTGAAGTTGGAGTGGTTTAGAAGAGGCCCACGAAAATAGTATATTTATGGAAAAATTTCGGCCACATCCCTTTCAGTTTATTAGGTATTGAGGCGTTGATGCTCGTTGTCGTAAATTACGGATTTCATCTTTTGTTTTCGAACGTTGTCCCAATCATGAGAAATGTTTACCTGCCTTTGAGTCTACAATGAGGGTTTGAAAATCGAGTCATACTTTCTAAGTTGAGGTTGAATTTGTCGAGTTTATTTTTTTAAATGAGTTCAAAAAATTGTTTAAGTCTAAAAGGAGTTGAGTCTGAATTGAGCCAGAATTTAACTATTTTATATATAAAAGAGTAGAGTCTAAAAAAGTAACCAAATCGAGCCGAATCTAAATCAATTCGGCTCGATTATCAACCCTATCTAGGAAAACTAACTTTTGTCATATGAAACGTGTAAATATTAGTTATAATAGTTAAATTACGTCAGTATTGTTATGTGATAAGTGAATCTCACTTTTTGAATAAGAGACAATTATTATCTTACATAGATGGGTGATTATTTGAAGGAGTAGAGTTCATTTTGTTCAATTGTGGAGTTATTATTTAGTAATTACACCATATAACAATGCTAATATGATATTTATATCCAATATTTACTCTGCCCGACGACATATATGCGTTAGAATGAGGGTAAGATTTAGTGTTGTAAACATTATGTTACCATTTAAAAAATCTTAGACAAAGAAAAATGCTACTTGGACGTGTAGGAAAATGTTATTAAGCCAAAATCGTATCTTAAAACGCATAGGAAGTGGAAGGTTTTGACTTGATAATGATATATCCTTACTTGTAATTGTGGGGTTTACATGTAGTGCAAGTTAAAACTAAACAAAATGTAGTTGTCTCTCCCTTAATACATTCATTTTCTTGTCATTTTTTTTTTAAGGTTTCCTTGCGAGATTTTTCTTTTCGTAGTTGGCACAAGAACAACCTTATAAATCAAAAACACATCACTAACCAAATCCATTAATTGACGTCTTTTTATTTCACGATGCTATAACTTTTTAGGGTTAGTTTTTGTTTTCGATTATGAAATTATCTAGAGGAAAAAGAGTAAATATTTAATAAAATAGTGATATCACTTGTCAATAAAAGAATATATAACTACATAGAGAATTGAATTGTGCATACGCCCATGCTATAGTTATTAAAAGTATAGCAGTTCTTGGATTCAAGAGTTTATAGTTCTCATAATTATCTTGGATTACAAATTTTTTTTTTTTGGAAAGGAGGAGGGAGTGACTTGAACCCTAACCCCCCCCCCCCGAAAAAAAAAAAATACACAACTTCCCTTCTTAAGATTTGATGGAAACTATCCTACATCCAATCCACTTGTTTTCTCTCTCCCAAAGAACAATCCTCTTCTATTTCCATCCTACCCCTCCCCGAAAGCCTGGGGAGGGGAGATGCAGGTTTACTTTTCATTGTTCTTGTTAGCGCAATCTGTTAGGTCGAGACCAGCCTGGGTCAACTGTTACCTTGTTCAAATGCATGCAGTTCATAGCAACTGAAATGACTGAAGCTTTGATTCCACAGTTTCCCTGAGCAAGGCATCAACTACAAGAAGTGAAAAAACATAGGTGAAGAGTACAGTGCCTTCCATAATCAGTTTTGAACTCCAGCAGCCCTGCTACCATTTTCTAATAGCCATTAACATACTAATCAATTTTCCCTCCTAATAGTAGTTCAGGTCTTCTTTTTATATTTAAAACTCGACGGAAATAAAACCAGCATCCCAGAAGCAATGTCCACAGACGCCGCATCCCACCTTCCAAAAAACTTGGGACTCTAAGTACCCAAAGGTTATTAGAGTGCTGCTATGCACTCTATTTCTATCTTCGCATCCATTGGTAATGCTGCTACCTGATATGTAGCACGTGCTGGTGCAGGTGATGGGAAGTCTGCAACACATGTCCAGTAAAATTAATATAGGAGTGCTGTAAATCTCATAACATATTTGTGACAAAGCTTCGTGAAGCACGAGCAATAGGTCCACACAATTTTGTCAAATTCGGGGTAACTAGATCACATCAATAGGAAAGTAAGGGCATTTAGATGGACCAACCAATGAAAAACTCAGTGCACCAAGTGAGAAAAACTCGGTGCACCAAGTGAGACGCTTGACAGGATAAACATAAAAAGAGATCGACAGAGCATTCAGTTAAGATGTCCAGCCATCAATTTTTGACAGAATGTAAACTTATAAAATGCTGAATGCAATTGCTACCATTTTCTCAAGAAACCTGGACAAAATGAAGTCCATGGTCAATAGTAAAATCTGATAATTTAATTCTTAACAACCTGCACAATCATCCCTAAACATCTAACTCAACAGCCCCAAGTCCATCCTGGACTTGAATTTCACCTATCCCTTTGGAAGGTGGTAAGAGCTATCACTCAGGAACAACTTGTTTTAGAAATGAAGTTTGAACTTCCAGGTGTTCGCACAAGTACGAAGCAGACACGGAGATTGAATTCCCATCCATTTGCACAAGCACAACGCGTTGAAAAATTTGATCACATTAAAAAGTCAACTAACTGCCCAAAGCAAATTTTTTCTTGTGTGGCCATTTGAAAAGGTATTAGGAATGACCTTTCCTGCTACCAAATTGATAATTGTAGAATAAACTCCATCCTATTGTTATCTAAATTCATTTTTATGCAGATATGGTTGGCCAATGAGATTTCAAATTACACCAGTCTCCTGAGTACTCGTATTCTGGATTTTTACAATCCACAAGCTTATGATTTGTTGTTTCCCTAACATGGTCCACATAGGGTGATATGGGTGAGAAACTCTGGTCTGAATCATGCATGTTACCACTAGTGCATACTCCGCAGACAAAAAACAATCTCAATTCTGTAACTTACATTTAGCATAAATTTCATTCACTTTCTTGAAGTCTTTCAGATCAGCCAACCTGTATCAAAACAAAAGTAATTCATAATCTCTAGTAAGCAAAAAATCCTTCCCCACAAACAAAACAACAAAGGAAAAGGAAAAGAAAGGAAGGGAAAATAATAATTTGGAGAGAAGATACAAGGACCACATACATAATAGTCGTCTTAACTACCGAAGAATAGGTAGCACCACTAGCTTTAAGTATCTCCCCCATATTCTTAAGGACCTGGAAATTTTCCATTTCAATCAAATCTTTCAGAAATCAGATCCACGATTTGGAAACTGTAAAGAATCAAGGGAATGTTATTTGGCCATGCCAAGTGATAACTGCAAAAAATAACTTGACATGCTACTACGATCAAGTGCCACAAAATGTCAGTGCCTCTACCATGATGATAGGACAGATAGAGAATCCAAGGCAGCTAAAAATCCATATTCTCTTTCTTTTTCCCCCTTTTCTTTCCAAATGTGCTTCCACAAAATAAGTGGATGTCAAGATAGAAGTACTTGTGGCTATTATTCTTACAAAGACACATTGCTAAATTTGCTGGGCATTAATTTACCTGCTCAGTTTGATCCTCTACATTGTCCGCTATGAACTTCCCAGTCTGCATACAAATAACCAAATACTTCAGCACACAGGTTGTTCAAAGAGATGATGTTATGCAGGAGCGGGACAAATTGGAGGAAGATTGATTAACTGAGCATTCAATTATCTATGAAGCAGTAATATCACTAACCTCTGGAATTAGACCAAGAACACCAGACACAAAAACAAAATTATTTGCTTTGATGGCCTGAGAATATGGTCCCAATGCAGCGGGAGCCTTTTCTGTTTGAACAGGCTCCTTTATCCCTAAAATCAATAAACAAAAAGTCGAAATTGCAATGAACATATGTATATGTGCACATGGAATGGCTCAAAAATCCAATGAAGAATATCTAAAACCAAAGGAAGATGTGGCATCCTAGGCTAAAGTGACAATTTTAAGCTTTTATAACCAATTCCCCACAATGGTGTCTTCCTAACTCAAACGATATAAATATGTCACATGGGTTCATTAAGTCGTTTCTGTTAGCAATCGAAAAAAAAAAAAGCATGAAATGGTCGTTCCCTCAAAAATCAAAAACAATTACATTGCCTTTTGACTTCCATAAGACAAAATGCACTTCCAAATTGCATAACCCAAACTGAAAATACACATTACAACAGCAATTGAAGTGGCACTTGCTCCAAAGCCATCGGATTGCAAAGTGTGTCCTAAAATACCCATCAATTAAAAGTGTAGCTGACATTTTCATACCCAAACTCAACAAATCACAAAATGCTTTATTGTAATCTATCAGACACCAAAATATATGAACTCTATGTCGAAAACGCTACATAATAAACTGAAATATTGATCGAAATTCTGAACAAAACTTATGTCGAATGACTGATCAGTTGGAAATCATAGACCGAGTCAGGATCCAGCCGTACAGATACGTCCGAGTCAGATTGAAAAACAATTAGAAGCCAGTATCTGGCATTGACAAAACCCTAACCCTAATTATTGTACTCAAGAATGAAGAACTCACTCGCGTCAGTAGAAATGCCTAAACAAGCGAAGGGCTTTGATCGCAGCGAAGATGCTGCTGACGGTGAAGATCGCCACAGGCTCGTGCCGGCCACCGAGACGCACCCTAGGCCGACGGCGAAGGGAGCACTGGTGCGCAGTGCGTTCACGTTGAGCGCCGGCATGTTGAATGACCTCGTTGCGGCACACCAAGACATTCTCTCTATCTCTCTTTAGTCTCTCTCTTAACTGTCTTTGTGTCTGTGACTGCGTTTTTTTGGGTCCGACTTATAAGCAATACACGAGAACCCACAATCTTAGGTGCTGTTTGGATCAAATAATTCGGTGGATTACAATGGGGATTGGATTAAAATTATGAAAGGGTTTACATATTCTTGGTTTGCGTAACTTTTTGGGGATGAGATTTTCGTTTGATTTTAATTACTCGGCCATAGGTTTTGAAGGGTATAATCCCCTCTGCAGGCCATTGAACAAACACTTGCCACATGTGGGATTGTGGGAGGAGAACTGGGATTAAATGCAAAATATCTAAAATATCCTCTACGGAGGAATAGCGAAATGGACAAGTTTCTACAACTTCTTGTTGAACTGCCGGCATGGAGATTTTCGAGAGAAGTATTTTGATATTTTTTCGCTTGTGTCCCTATTTCGTTGGAGAATGATTCTGAACTGGATTGATCTTGATCTTGAGCTTGGACTTAAAGTGGAAAAAACTTGGATTTGTATTAGAGTGAAGAAGGGAGGAGAGGAACAAAAGGGCGGGCCATGGGCGACGCCCACTTGGAGACCATATGGGTAGCGCCCCCCTTGGGGTACCCTTGGGTGACGCCAACTTGGGCGCCTTGGGCGGCGCCCCCTTTTGGGGATCTTTGATGCTGGTTTCTTGATATCCTTTTGAATTTCTTTTTGATAAGTCGATTCAGCTTCGATTGGGTTCTTCTTTGAGCTTTCTTGGTTTAATTAAATTGGACTTGGTCTAGTCAAATTCGGGCTCATCAATTCCCTTTTGAAGTGCACAAGAGGATTAGAGGTAGCATGGAAAGAGAAAAGTCCAGAGAGACTGTCGATGAGAGCAAAAAAAAAGTATTGCTTGTTATTGGACTAATCTCAACTTGCATCATAAAAAGTCATTCTAATCTCAATTTACACTCTCAAAATTTAAAAATATTAATTTATACATTGAAAGATATAAATATATATCAATATACCATGAGTCTAACTGACATCTATTTTGTGGTTAAAAAAATTTAGAATAATTATAAATTGCACACCTCAAATTTTAAATATTTCACATTTATATTCCAAAAAGAATTTCATCCATTAATATTTGTTAAATAACTTTCAATTGTATCATATCATATCATTTTCGTGTCGTGTTCGAGTCAATAAAAAAAAAATTTTAACACAAAAAATATTTTCTTGTCGAGTCAATTGAATTGTATTAGGTATTTTACATTTACGATAATTCTTATAATACTATTTAATATTTTTAAAAAATTTAAAATTATCTATTTTTTGTTTATAATGCTCTTTAAATAATTATTTTATATTTTTGATTGATGCATCTAATGTGAAGTTGCAATTGTGTTACTTAGGGATGAAGATTCCAAATATTAGTGTTGATGAAACTGAAGTCATGATTGACACGTTAATTGAGTACAAACATTTGAACCTTTTACCTCTTTACAGTTGCAAAAACATTTTTTTTAGATGTCCTACTTTTTAGTCATTTTTTTTCCTAAATAATACAATATTAATGGATTGGACTTTTTTTCATTCCAATCCAAACTCGGTATTGAATTGAATTACATTTATTTACATAAGGGTGCAATGATCATTTTAGTATGTTTTATCTTTACATGTGAATGAAGCTCATAAGCCAAATGATTTTTATCCAAAGATAGAATAGAATTTGAATTCAAACTTTATAATCCTCCAATTCGAACCACATTGTATTTGGTTGGATTGAGTTTGAATTCAAATTCAATCCAATCTAATCCAATTCTTCCAGGTGATCCACACACCTCTTTAATGTGTAAGAGTGTGTAATGAGCATTTCTTCCCCGGTCACAAACCAGGCTGGTGGTGGTTGGGGTTTTATTTTGAGGTTGGTAGACTATTTCTAATGAAAATTTAAATTTTTATTTAAATTTAGGGAAAAAAAAAAGGTAAAAAACTTAATTTGATGTAAAACTTTTTAATGAAAAACTCAAATTTAAAGAAAGAAAAACACAATTTAAATTTAAAAAAGAGTAAAATATGACCATTGAATTTTTAAAGGAGGATGAAATATCACCATTAAAAATTTAAATAAATTTTGAGTAAAAAAAATGAGTCTCTCTTGATTTAATATGAGTATAAATCTAGTATTGAATAAAGTTTTTAGGAGTTTTTTTACTCAAATTTAAATTTGAATTTAAAAAAGGGTAAATATTAAAATTCAGACTCAAATTTAAATTTGAATCAAAATGGTCTAAAAATTTTCTCCAACTTTAAATCCAAACTTATACCAAATCAAAAAAATATATATATATTTTAGTCCAAGTTGAGAGAGACTCAAATCCTATACTAATTTTTAACAGTAACTTTTTATCCTATTGAAACCTAGAAGACTCATTCATTAGAAAAAGTTCTTGTCTCTCTTGCCTCTATTTTCAAAGTGGGTGCCATCATCTCTCTCTATGTTGTTACATTTTTCCTCTCTCATAAACTCTCTTTCTCAAAAATCTCTCTCTCTCTTAAAAAAATTTATTACTCAAAAAGGTTGATATTCTTGAGTTTCTTTTGATTAATATTAGTGATTGTAAGAAAAATATTTTAATATTGGATAAAATGCTTTGGTGGAAAAAATTTAAAAAATGATCTATGAGACAGTAAACGAATTTTTTAAAAGATTTAAGTAAATATTTAAATTTGTTCATTGAAATATTTTATACCAAATCAAAATTTTTATTCAAATTTGAGTCATGGTTACAAATACTCATACGAAAACAAGAAACTAATATGACACATTATAAATTCAAAAATAATACGATTGATGTAAATAATAAATTAACTAAACAAGTGTTAGACACCAGGAATTTGTCTTCACTAATATTGCAAGAAGGCAATATAAGTTTTTTTTTTCTTGATCTAATAGTGAATGCATTGTTTTAGAATCAAACAATTTCTCATTTGGTTGTGTTAGGATTTGAATCAAGTTGAATTTTAATTTACACATCGATAATACGGGGTGGATTTGGTTAACATTAAAATATGTACTAGTATTATGATTATTAATTAATTCACAATTTACACGGCATGATATATTTTAGTACAAGTTCAAAATAACACTATTCTAACATGACACGACATCATGTCGGGGCTTTTGTTTATTAATGACCCCTATCTAATCCCTCATAAGTTTGAGCCCAATTTGCTTCATTCAAGGCTCTAAACATTATAGAGTCCATGGTGAACCCTACCTAGTAAAATCAACAGTTTTGTCACAATGCCAAGGTGTCTATGTAACAGTAATGCTACACATAACAAAAAAAAAGATTAAAAACATAGATCAGGTCCGAATCCTCCTCCCCTATAATCAAAGAAAAGAAAACGCAGACTTAGCTCAATTATGTGCCTTGGTTGAGTTTGTTGTATGGAGTTCAATTATGTCAACCAAATTTTTTAGTATAGAAGATGACATGCAGTTAATAAGGTGATAAGCAGTAAGAACAACATAACTTCAAAAATATCGAGAAACATTTATCCGGAATAACAATGTACGGATAACTTCCAATAGATTACAATTGTTACACTTGACGACACTATTCTGTTGAGGTAAATAGGAGCAAGAAGTTTAATGAATAATGCCAGTTTTATATTCACAAACATTATCAGAATGTAAAATATGAATACGATAATCATATTAGGTTTTGATTTATTTATGAAATGTCTCAAATATAGAAAATAATTCAAAATGAGCTTTTATAAGAAATAACCAAGTCACACGAAAATAATAATTCACAAATGACAACAAATAAGAAAATTTATTAGATTAAATATTCTTTATTGGATCTCATATATCAGAATTACTAACTCAAAAGGACTCACTTAGTTATTGACTCTAAATTAAAAAGACACACGATGTTGCTTACTAAGTTGACAAGTTTCACAAGACACAAACGACATATAACTAAGACTATGACTTTGACGATTCAGATTTTGGAGGAGGGATGACCAAAACAACAATGTCATTGAAAGATAGATGACGATGTCTGAAGTGCCCCAAGAAGTGGATCAACGTCAAAATAATTGAGACCACCAGTTTCATGTCCAATACCATTCTTCCTCTTCATCTGGAGATCTTGAAACACACAACAAGAGGGGGATAAAAAGGTTACTGAACAATTAAGGGAGCCAGTAAGTTTGCTAATAGAAAGTAAACTAACGGGAAACTGAGGGACAAATAAAACATATGATAAGGACGTATCATGACTTAATTGAGTAGTCTCCAAACCTAAAATCTTAAAAAAAGTATCATTAGTAAGAGTAACTGTGTGGGGAAGTAACATAATGATAAGTAGAAAAGACACCAGATGAACCAGACATGTGGTCAGAAACTCAAGAGTCTATAATCCAAGGACAACAAGTAGAGGACAATAAACAAGTGAAAGCAGTATCTGACTAGGCAAAAGTAATAGTAGAGGAAGATGGAGCAGCCTATTACACAGACATAAATTAAACGTACTGTTCTCATGTAATAATAACTAGCTCAAAGTCTAGAAGAGCCAATCGATATATGGGGACAGGTAGAGAGAAAGTGTTATCTTGATAGGAGACTTGATTAGAAGGTTGCCATGTAAGTCCTAATAATAATCAACAATGTGAGTTGGATGACCACAGTGAATACATGACCAACGACCTCCACTACGGCCTCCCTGACTACCACGACCACCCTGAGGAATATCACTATTGCCATTAGAGACAACAAGAGCTGAGCAGTTAATGGATAAGCCATGATCAATACCTGAAGGTGAAGATCTAATTGACAAGGTAGCATGCTATAAACGGGAGAAGACCTCAAGAAGAGACGAAAGACTGGAGCCACCCAAAATGTAAGAACGAATAGGCTCATACTCAAATTTCAAACCAACTGGGAAACAAACAACACTCAAATCCTCACGTTGTTGTTGCAAAACTGCAGCATCAATGATGAATGGGTGGTAGGTCTTTAATTCCTCACAAACGCCCCGAACTTAAGAGTAATAGTCTTCTAAACTTAGTGTGCTTTGCTCAAGATGAAAATACTATTTACACATTATAAGCACAAGTAAAATTACATGTGGCAGAATACATGGTTGTCAAATGATCCCATATTTCTTTGATAGTGTCAAGATAAAACTAAGTAGAGCTGATACAAGTCTCAACGCTATTTAATAGTAATGAAATAATCTAGACATCCTCTTATTCCCATTAATCATACTCAG